CTTATTGGTAAAATATAGCACATTATGCTTTCTAGAAATTCTGCACCTTAAGTGTCTAAAATCAAATCAGTTTTTTTCGCAGCGATAAAACCACTCGACGACCTAGATGACGTGTTTATTGACCAATCATCCACCGCGACGGGGGGTCCTCGCGCAATTTTGAAGCTTCTGGGCAAAGTATAGCACCTTATGGGAAAGTATAACACCTTTTGGCCAAAGTATAGCACTATATTATAAAGTATAGCATTTTATTGGCAAAGTATAGCACCTTATTGGCAAAGTATAGCACCTTATGCTTTCTGAAAATTCTACACCTTAAGTGTCTAAAATCAAATCAGTTTTTTTCGCCGTGAAGAAACCTCTAGACGACCTACGTGACGTGTTTATTGACCAATCATTCACCGTCGCTGCGAAAAAAACTGATTTGATTTTACACACTTAAGGTGCAGAATTTTCAGAAAGCATAAGGTGCTATACTTTGCCAATAATGTGCTATACTTTGTCAATAAAGTGCTATACTTTGCCATATAGTGCTATACTTTGGCCAAAAGGTGCTATACTTTTCCATAATGTGCTATACTTTACCCAGAAGCTTCAAAATTGCGCGAGGACCCCCCGTCGCGGTGGATGATTGGTCAATAAACACATCACCTAGGTCGTCGAGTGGTTTCATCGTGGTAAAAAAACTGATTTGATTTACGACACTTAAGGTGCAGAATTTGCAGAAAGCATAAGGTGCTGTACTTTTCCAATAAGGTGCTATACTTTCCCAATAAAGTGTTATACTTTGTAATATAGTGCTATATTTTAGCCAAAAGGTGCTATACTTTCCCATAAGGTGCTATACTTTGCCCAGAAGCTTCAAAATTGTGCAAGGACCCCCCGTCGCGATGGATGATTGGTCAATAAACACGTCACGTAGGTCGTCGAGAGGTTTCGTCACGGCGAAAAAAACTGATTTGATTTTAGACACTTAAGGTGCAGAATTTTCAGAAAGCATAAGGTGCTATACTTTACCAATAAGGTGCTATACTTTGTCAATAAAGTGCTATACTTTACAATATAGTGCTATACTTTGGCCAAAAGGTGCTATATTTTCCCATAAGGTGAGGTCGCAGTGGAGGAGCTGTGTGCTCTTCATCTTGCCCAGAAGCTTTCAAAAGTTTGCGACCAGTGACTTCCAATATTCAGCGCGCCCCCTCGTCGACGGTCTGGACGTGATTGAGTACAATATACCACCGCCTCCAGTAGTGTCCGTTACATCATGAGTCGTTCTGCTCAATTGCCCTCATGAAAACAACATGATTGACTTATCATAACTAAGTGTTGCTGGAAGTTTTCTCCTAGCGACCTAAGCGTGCTATACTTTACTCATCGATTAAGGTGCCGTATACTATTAGCCATAACAGGTTGCATCTATTTACTCTAAGTATTTTTATAGGTGCATATACTTTATCATAAGCTGCCATAGCTCTTCCCAGTAACAGTAGCCTATTACTTGATCAAAATCGTATGACAAATGATGCGCTTTAGTACCTCTCCGTCGCCCCGAGGTGGAATAATTGGTCACGGCAGACACAGTAATAGTTGGCCCAATTAGGTGCTAGTCAACTACAAGCCCTACCATCAAAATCTTTTCTAGTTCAATCAATGCGCATCAGTTCCCATTACAGACTATTCACTATCTATCAAACCAAACTAACTCAAGGGCATTAACCATTCACAGAGTCTATGCTATATGACAGAATATTTCCATGAAGATTGAATGGTAAATAATCCAAACATTCAGCCTTCATGCTATCGTTCAAACTGATCCTACTGGACTCACATTTCACTATTACACTGCATAAATTTTGACTACACAGATGATAGACAATTTGGATAGACCTGCATTGAATTAACAATTATCACAGCAAATACATTGGTATATTATTACATAATATTTTAGAAAATACTTTTGGCATTAGCCAACCATTTCGATAGCATTTGCGACTACTTACTTGTACATCATAGCTTGTTATGGCGCCTGCCTGCTAGGGTGACTCTCTTTCTTCGGCGTTTGGTGGTTTGAT